GGCCCCGGGGGCGCTGGTCTCCGCGGGACCCGCTGCCTGCGGGAGGCCGCCGCGCGCCGACGGCTTCCCCAGTGTGAGGTTGGGGACCCGCGTCGTGTTTCGTGGGGCTCTTTACCTGCTGGCTGTGAACTGCGGGTGACCGCTTGGAACGGCGATGCTGCGCCTGACAGTTATGACTTCGGCTTCTGCTTGTCATTACTGCCTTACCCGGGGGAATTTGCTTTCTTAGTTGTTCTACTCGTGAAGAGTGGTGACACTGGTGAAACTTCTCTCTTAGAACTGTAAATATTAGGTGCAGGAGGCTTTAAAGTAGTAAAGGTGAGTAATGCATGAATGGTTGAGAAAGGGAGATAGACTTACGTGCTTATGTGAGGGCAGAATTCACTAGGTAAGGCGTAAAATTGGGTTCGCAGAGGTAGGATTACTTTGCAGTGCGACTGTTGTGTTAAACTGGGGCATTTTGCTTAGGCCAGACGTGAGTTTTCAGTGTTGAAGCTGTGCCAAGACTAACACTTTTATGCAGTTAAAGCCCAGATGGAGATCATTCCTGCCCTTAAAAATTAAATGTGAAAACGTCAGTTTGCCTGAAATGATAATGCAGTACGTGGAGCTGTTGGTTGAAGTGCGAAGTCTTGAGCTGATTCTTTATTTCGTTATGTAGTTTTGCTTTTACTGGTGATAAAGAATGTTTTCCCCTAGGGCCGTGTGATTTTAATTTAGTGTAACCTAAATACTAACGCTCCTTTTAAAAATTCTATACAGTTTTTAAATATAGAATAAAATTCTACTTGGAGTGGAAAAAATGCTATTAATTTTATTACTCATTTCCTTAACATGTTATTAGGCTTTGTTGAGGGAATCTTTCACTTAATCATTTTACCAGTGCCGTCCATTTGCAGTGTAGAAAAACCCTGCTTCAACAGTGAAATTGAATTCAAAATTTGCTTTTTCTGTATCTAAATTTAACAGTTAAACAATGTTTAAAACAGGTTCCCTGGCGAATCTGTGGTAACGGTGTAATTTATCACTGTAGTGCAGAATATAACTGTCTACTGAAATAATAACAGGATTATTTAATATGCAGACCTAGGACTACAGATCTCTCTTGCCTGATAGTGGGAAGAAAAGTGTCCTTTACCTTCACTCAGGGACCAGAGAAGGTTCATGTGGGAGAAATTGTGGCAGCGGTGAGAACTCTGGCGGCATTTTTGGCTGTTTCGTGAGTGGCAGTGACACTTGGGGTGTGGGGCTGGAAAGTGTGAAAAGATGTACTGATTGTGTACAAGTGAGATCCAGAAGCTGTTGCTGTATGTTAATCTTTATAAACTGGGTTTTGCGAAGTGTATAGTTTTGTCTTTTGGAAATAAGATAATTTACATGTTTGCTTCCCCCTCTAGACAGTAACCTGTCAGTCAGTCTGTCAACAAACATTTACTTCTTGCCTATTAGGTTCAGGCACTGGAAGTGAACAAGTAGATCTTCTTTTGGGTGAGGGGTGTGGACACAGCCAGTGGAAAGTATTGTGGGCTGGATAGCACACCAGCTAATAATAAATGCCATGTAAAAAATAAAGCAGGGCAAAGTGGTGGGCAGTGTGAGGATAGCTATTTAAAATAGGGTAGCCAGTGAAGTTCTCACTGAGAAGACCAACGACTTGAAGGAGATAAAGCCAGTTTTGAAGACAGATGGGAGAAGAACATTCCAGGCAGAGGAAGCAGGAAATTCACAGGCCCGGAGAAGATGCCTGTTTGAGGAACTGACTAGCTCGGCACAAGCAACTGTGGCAGGGAAAGTTATAGTACATTCTGTTCTCACTGCCTGAAATGTCAGCACCTTCATGCAGGTCAGTGGTGGCGAACCTGCAAAGAACTGCAGTAGTGCCTAGGTTGAAGAACTTAATTTGTTTTACAGTTTTGGAAAAGATGGACACGTGTTCGTGTGGGAAAGGAAGCTGTGGTCGTGTTTGCCACTGATGCAGAGTTTGCAAACAAAAACAAAATTTTCCAAACACTTCGGAAGTGTTTGTGAATCAAGGTTCCACATATCTATCCACACATGCAAGTTTAACTCTCTTGTGGCTTCTTTTATATGAGAAACCCAAGAGTATAAAGTACAAAATAAAAGATAGATAATAGGGGATAGGGAGATAGGCTTTTTCAAAGACACCACTTCAGAGTTAAAAATTGAAGTAGCAGCTAACCCACCATTACTTTTGTAATAATGAAACCACTGGTTAATGAAGGACTAAATTTTAAGAGTCGGAAAGACATGTAGGAATTCCAATCAAAACTGTCTCAAGCTAGGTTCTAAATGAATGAATTTAAGGGAACTAAGAGATGGACAGGATGGGGGGATGAAAAGAGAATTAAGGTGTGTTATGTACATATACCAGCTCACCACAAGAAATGTAGTCATTGTATACTATAAACATATACTGTTAAATAAAAATTGAGCAAAGGATATAGTCAATGAAATTGATGGTTTTGCTTCATAAATTATTAAGCAAGGTTTAAGGATGTGAGTGAGCCAATAGTTCTGTACCCTGATTAGGTGCTGAGGTTTGAGTCCAACAATAGTGGTACATCAGCATGGTTTGAAATCTGTTTAAGCCTTTCATTGATATATGTCCCCTACTGCATTATATTCATTCTTTATTTATGCTCCCTCAACATACAAGTACTGTATAGCAACTTACATGTTCATCTCTATTTGTCCTTTAGTAGTACGTTTGTTCATTTCAGGCTTTAATAGATTTTTAGCCTTGATGGTACCTTTTAGCTGTTGTCATGTGTGAGACATGAAGTCACACATCTGTTTCACTAAACTGCAGATTTGGCTCATTCTGCTAGTCATGTGGTAAGAATTCAAGAGTGGACTTAGTGCATCCCTTTTGTTTTTTCCTTTTGTATCCTTGAACTGTCACTGCAGAAGCTCATGTTTTTCATGGTTTGTCTCTTTCAATTGATGCCTAGCAATAGCACCTTGGCAATAATAACCTCTGGTATTAATATTTGTCTGGAAATATCTGTATATTACTGATACTTATATTTCATAAACAAGATGTATTTTTTCATAGTGACCAAACAAGGAACAAAACAACCTTGGCATTATGATTCTTGTGTTATTAGTGAACTGTAATTTATCTTTTGATGAGTCACTATAATAAAGTACAACTGTTTTCTTTTGCATAAGTTGTCTTAGTACTTTCCACAGTTTGTGGAATAAAAGATTGTATGCATATGCGTGCGTGAACATATACCACATATATGTAAAATGCAAGCAGAAAAATTTCTAAACTGTAAAGTACATGTTTCCTCATTTTTGTTATGAATTACCATCCCTTCATACTTGTGCCATACACTGCTTCTGATAATCTAAGGTAATTCTGAGTTGTAGACCATCTAGAGTCCAGTCCCCTTCTGCCTCTTGTTAGATAAAACTCTCTCTTTAGGGTAAATTACACATGTTCTGTCCTCACCCATTCTGCTTTGTTAGCCTTCTCTAACTCTAGTATAGGTAAAGTTTCTTTACTAAAGTATTTAGCAACTGTTAGAAGGGTATTGTACTGTGAGAGGAATCGTGGGCAATTCTAACTAGTGTTAAAACTCTGAGTAGCGGTACTGCTAGATTTGGACTACTGAAGGGAGAAGTGGCAGCTCTGGAAATTTTCTGACCTATAGCTCCATTGCACTCTTCTCTGTTTCCCTGCCCATATTCTTTCAAGTACTTACTTGTTTGTAGGGCCCTGTTATGCCTTGTATCTAGATGTCATTCAAAGCCTCATGCAGTTATAAGTGGAGCTTCTTGGAGGTGGCTGGATCTAGGGTGTGTGATGCTGGGATGAAAGCTGTGATGTTGGAATTAAGGATGTGATACTGGGTGTGGGTGGTACCACCTACAGGGTGGGTAGCCTGGACAGAATCTGAAAGGACAGAAAGAAGGCAGGCTGCCCCCGCCATAATTGTTGCTTGCTGCCTTCTGCCTGCCCTGCCATCAACTTTCTCCTCTGCGATGCCCCTCTGCCATGCCACCCTGCCTTGGAGCCACCCAGTTATGGACTGAAACCTCCACAAACTGTGAGCCAAAATAAACCTTTCCTCCTTTAACTTTGGGTGTTGGAGATTTTTCTCATCAACCAGAAAAGTAACTAAGACAGACCCTGTTACAAGTAATAATACATAATCAGACACAGCCCAGGAAGTTTACATTCTAGTGATAGGAGACAGGTAATAAATTATGTAAGATTGTGATTGACCTAGGAAGAAAATGGAAGCTGGGCACTGTGATGCGTGCTTATAATCTCAGCCACCTGGGAGTCTGATGCAGGAGGATTGCACATACGAGGCCATCCCAGGCAATTAACCAAGACCGTCTCAAAATATTAATAAAAAAAAAATTGAAAAGGGTCAGATGTATTTCAGTGGAAGCCTGTTCACCTTAGATATGTGAGGACCTGGATTTGGTCTCCGCCCTAGGGTGGGGGAATGAAACGTGGAGTAATGGGGGACAAGTGTCTACAGTACATAGAATCATCTGGGAAATCCTTTTTGGACCTGAGGATAGGTCAGGGAAAAGACATTTCCCTGCATGCCCACCGCAAGAAAATATACTTACACAAGGAAATATTTTTCCATGAAACAAGCTTGTGTTTTGTACGGTTGAAGAATTCCTCTAGAAAAGGCAGT